AGAGAGAAAGAGAGGGAAATGATCCTTGTCAAACATATATATATATATATAATATATATATAATAATTCATACATCTTTAATTGGATTCTAGGTTGTTAACTCCTGTCAAAACCTAAATGTTCATGTTATTAGGAAAGTAAGGTTCAACCTCATATAATTGGTTTTGGATCAATCAGAAGTCATAGGTCTTAATCTTTTTTTTACACAAAATTTTAACTACTTAATAAAAAAAGATAGAGTTGTTTTAAAGTAGAAAACCAAGGTAGCACCACAACCAAGAAAAAAAAAAGGGGAAAAAGAAACCAAAAAAATAAAGAAAAAATGGTGTATTTAGTGAGTGACTTATTTAGTAAGATTTCTTCAATTTTTTTTAGTTGTTGATTAACTCTAATTTTAGTTAAAAAAAATTTTTATATATCTATTATTTGACATTGAAAATTTTTATTATTTCAAGCCCAATACATGCCTCACTAAATCCATAAAAAAAAATAATGGTCCTAAATTTTGATGTAATATGCTATACAATCATTAGAAAATTAAATTGGCTTAGCAATCACCATTTGGTTTTTTTGATTTGTAGTTAAAAAAAGAAAGACAAAAGAAAGAGTAAGTGAAAGGTAAATATCAGAGGAAATAAGAGGGAAAATACAAGAGTAAAAAGATAACTATTTTTCACCTAATTAATTCCTATATATTGATCTTTTCAATTTACAAAGATTAGAATAAATAAAAGAAAATTTCCAACAATGGGATAGTTGCCTTTTTTTATATATATAATGGAATATATTAAAGAAAAGAATTCATTTTTTTATATATGATAGTGAAATTTTTAAATTTTATGAATGAAATTAAAACATTCTCATATGTTTTACCCTTTTATAATTTTTTTTTTACAATATATATGTCTCATTCTATTATTTCTGCTCATGAAATAATTTAAAAACTCCATGCTTTTGGCACACTGACTTTCGAAGATTTTAATATAAGGGTCTTGAATAAAAAAAAAACTTGTATATGTAAAGTTGATATATTTCATAAAGGATGATGATCAAATAGTCTCCTTATGCATATCAATACATATACTTTTTCTTACTATTATTTTTTATTCTTTTTTAAATATTACAAAAATTTTAAATAACAAAAATAATTTTTCTAATTTTTCAATTGTAACATTTTTTCTAACAATTACGAAGCTTGTTCATAAAATATTGAACTCTTAATTTCATTAATTGAGATTTAATTTGTGTTAAGTAGAACAAAATTGTTATCATTCTTAAATTATTTTCCGAGTTTAATTATTTCAAAAATAATAATTTCATTCAACATTATTTAAAAATAAAAACAAAAACATTCATGATAATTTATTTTTATTTTTTTACAAAAGAAGTTGAAACATGAATATAAAGAAAGAGATTATAAATTTTCAAATTGATCTCTAAAATTATTGAGTTCAATAAAATTATAAATATTAAAATTTGAATTTAAATATTAGCTTTTAAAAATAATTATTTGAATTAATTGAACTAATTTTTGAATTCAAAATTAATATAATTTATTTTTATTGTTACTTATAAATTTGTGTACAATGTACTTGCACCATGGACTAATTAGAAGAATTTCATAATGTGCAATATGTCTCATTGTGTAGTTGATATAGTGAGCAGATTTCTTTTTAATCCAAGAAAAGTTTACTGGAAAGCAGTGAAATGAATTTTTAGATATTTAAAGGACACCTAAAAAATGTGCTTAAGTTATAGAGTTTTACAACTAGTTTTATAATGGTTTATTGATACTAACATAACAAGTGATCTTGATGGTAAAAAAATTATTTTAGGGTATTTGTTTACTTTTGTATGAGAAAGCTGTATCTTGACAATCTAAGTTGTAGAAATGTGTTGTTTTGTCAACTACAAAGGTTAAGTATATTACAACAATCGAAGTAGGTAAAGAAATGCTTTGGATGAAATATTTTTTTTTTTAAATTGAGGTTGAATAAAAAAGAGTATATGGTGTTCTATGATAACCAAAATGCTCTAAATTTGAGTAAGAATGCCAGGTACCATATTAGAACAAAACATATTGATGTTGATATCATTGGCTATGTACAATGATTAAGGAATAGTATATGCTATTGAAAAAAGTTCATACCGATGAAAATGTAGCAGATATGTTGATTAAGACACTTTTCAAGAAAAAACTTTAGCTTTGCAGTAATTTAGTCAAAATAGGTTCCTTGGCCAAGGTAAATTCTAAATGAAACTACTATGATGATGAATTTCTTTTTAATGGGGTTGGAGGGAGAGATTGTTAAGAAAGTAGGGTCCAGCTTTATGTAATTGATCTTGGACCAATCAAAAGCTATAGGCTTTAGTTTTTCTTTTTACACAGAGCTCCAACTACTTAACAAAAAGAGGTGAGGTTATTTTAAGGTAGAAAAACAAGATAGTGCCTCAAACTAATAAGGTAGAAAAACAAGATAGTGCCTCAAACTAAGGAAAGAAAGGGGAAAAGAAGCCAAAAAATAGAGAAAAAAGAAAGAAGGGAGAGTCGATTGATCGAAAGTCGATCTATAGTCCGATTAAGTTGAAATTTTATCAGCAGGTTTATGATTCAGAGTTCTACATTCTAGACAGTGAAAATCGAGTTTAAAGCTCTCTAAGAACAAATCCATAGTATATTTGCTAAGTCATCTATTTGGTGAGATTTCTCCAATTGTTTCTCTAATTGTTGATTAACTCTAGTTTTAATTAAAAAAAAATTTGTATATTTATTATTTGATAGTAGAGATTTTTTTGGTAGTCTGTGATTTTTTCTCTTTACTCTGGAGGGTTTTTCACGCAAATCTTAGTGTGCTTTATTTTTCTTATATTATTGATTGTTGATTGTTGTCTATTATTATAGGTTGATTGTGATATATTGCTTCTACGTTATTGTGTTTATTGCTTCAAACCTAACACATCCCTCACTAAATCCATAAAAAATTAATGGTCCTAAATTTTGATGTGATATGCTATACAATCATTAGAAAATTAAATTAGCTTAGCAATCACAGTTTGATTTTTTGATTTGTAGTTAAAAAGAAAAAGATAAAAGAAATAGTAAGTGAAAGGTAAATATAATAGGAAATGAGAAGGAAAATACAAGAGTAAAAAGATAACTATTTTTCACCTAATGAATTTATATATATATTGATCTTTTCAATTTACAAAGAATAAAATAAATAAAAGAAATTTTCCAACAATAGGATAGTTGCCTTTTTTTTTTTATAATGGAATATATTAAAGAAAATAATTCGTTTTTTTATATATGATAGTGAAAATTTTAAATTTTATGAATAAAATTAAAACATTGTCATATGTTTTACCCTTTTATAATTTTTTTTTTTTACAATATGTATCATTCTATTATTTCTGCTCATGAAATGATTTAAAAGCTCCATGCTTTTGGTACACTGACTTTCGAAGATTTTAATAAAAGGGCCTTGAACAAAGAGAAAAAAACTTGTACATGTAAAGTTAATATATTTCATAAAGGATGATGATCAAATAGTCTCCTTATGCATATCAATACATATACTTTTTCTTATTATTATTTTTTATTCTTTTTTAAATATTACAAAAATTGTAAATAACAAAAAATATTTTTTTCTAATTTTTCAATTGTAATATTTTTTCTAACAGTCACATAACTTGTTAATAAAATATTAAACTCTTAATTTCATTAATTGAGATTTAATTTATGTTAAGTACCAACAAAATTGTTATCATTCTTAAATTCTTTTCTTTTCGAATTTAATTATTTCGAAAATAATATTTTCATTCAGCATTATTTAAAAATAAAAACAAAAGCATTCATGATAATTTATTTTTATTTTTTTATAAAAGAAGATGGATCCTGAATATAAAAAAAAGATATTACAAGTTTTCAAATCGATCACTAAATTTATTAAATTCAAAAAAATTATAGATATTAAGATTTAAATTAAATATCAACTTTAAAAAATAATTATTTAAATTAATTGAATTAAATTTTGAATTTAAAATTAATATAATTTATTTTTATTGTTAATATATTTCAGCACTTATAAATTCGCATACAGTATACTTTCGTCATGGACTGATTAGAAGAATTTCAAAATGTGCAATATGTCTCATTTCCTTATCTTAATTTTCTTTCTTTCCACCATGATTTAATTTTGCTAATGCCACGCCCCGTTAAGAAAAAGAAAATTAAAAAAAGAAATTGAGAAAGTACAATAAAATTATTCTTGTTCATTGCTTTTCGGTGCGGCTTCGGTTTTAAACAAAAGTGGAACTTTCTCTGTTAACCTCAAACTCTCCCCCTTTAAAAAAATAAAAAATAAAAAATTAATTTTCTAATTTTATTGCTTCAGTGTTCTTCTAATTATTTCTTTTTTTTTTTTTAAGAAAAAAAAGCTTTTGACTTGATTCCTTGGTCACTAATAATGGTGACAATGTGTTTATGGCCTTTATCCACTATTTTTTATATCACGTCGGTTGATTTCTAACACGTGTCACCTTAAAAGCCGCTGCTTCTCTCCCGTACGTTTCTCCCTCTGCTTTTTCTTTTTTCCTCTTTTTCTCGGATGTCTTTAATAAACTCTTGTCTTAGCTCCGTTTCTCTCCTTCAGAAACAAAAAAAACCAGATGAATTTGTAACAAAACAAGGCAGACAAACAAAGAAAACCCACAGAAAAAGGTGTAATCATAATCTTAATCTTCCATTATTTCATTCCTTTTTCTAATAAAATTTGCTATTGGGAGTTGTCGCCTGTTTAATTTTGTTTATTCCATTTCTTTTTGTTGGATAAATTCAGCTGCTGATTTTGAAGCGGGTGAAAATTTAATGTTTACATGAAAAATCTTATTCTTTAAGCTATAAAGTTGTTATTTTTAGCTAGAAATGTATAGTTTACAATGATACAATCAAATAAATGAGATTGTTTTAGTTTTCTTTTTCACTGATCATTTCTGCTTTTTTTTTTTTTTTTTGTGGCTGTCACTCTGATATCCAATTTGTTGAAATGGGTTTCTTTCTTATACCCAAAAAAGGTTTCCTTTTGTTTTTCTTTTGAACAACCTGTTTTGTTATATGACCAGAAGAGTTAAAACTTAAATGAATGGTAAATTTTCAGTTTGGAGTACTTTAAAATTACAAAAAATTTAGGAATTTGATTGTTTTTGTGATCCTATGTTCCTTTTCTGCAAGTTTCTTAAGGTTTTGACCCATGGATTCTATTGCTCTTTTTAGACAATTGTCCTTTTGCTAGGCTTTGTTCACTAAATTCAATCTTTTTTTATTTTTATTTTTTATTTTTTCTGTTCTAACTATTCTTTTTTATGTTGGGGATAGGAGTAAGGACCAAGGGAATTATCATCTATCCCAAAACATACACATATAAGGTTGTGTAAAGGCGGTGGTGGGAAAAAGATAGAGAGAGAGAAATGATAGCTGAAGCAAAGGTGAGAAGTGAAGACTTGAACTTGTGCTTTGAGAAGCTGATGATGGTTGCAACCGGAAATAGTGGTGAGGGAGTTAAGATGAAGGGCGTGGTGATCCCTGAGTGGAAAAATATTCCTATGGAGCTGCTGTTGAGAATTGTTTCTTTAGTTGATGATCGGACTGCTATTGTTGCTTCTGGTGTTTGTAGTGGGTGGAGGGATGCCATTGGCTTGGGCCTTACCCAACTCAGTCTCTCATGGTATATAGTCTTTTGCGCTATTTACTCTTATAAAAGTACCAGCACTTGTGCTTTTGTTTATTCTCGTCAACAATTCTTTCATGTTTATGTTTTGCTTGTTGTGCAGGTTAACTATTATTGTCTCTCAAATATTTATAAGCTTGTAACTACTGAATATTTTTACAATTTGCAAAGTATCTTCTTTCTGATATATCTGATGAATACAGACACAAGCAAACACATATTATGTTCTCTGAGCACCTTTTTATTGGCAAGATATAAGATAACAAATAAGGTTTTTCTTGTTTGTGTGAACTAGAGTTTGGAATATTACAGTAAGCAAGTCATTTGCTGTTCTGTGTTTGGTTATCTCTAGCTCCAAGGTAAAACCTTTTAGTAGTTTTGGACAACTTGCAGCCAATATATTAATTTGTCTGTCATCTGAGATAATAGATTTTTATTGTTGGTTCTTTTATAGCTTTAAGGGTTAGATCTTCCTAGTACTATTGGCTTTAGTCCCAACCTTATTCTTGATGCTGTATCCTTGATGACTGTGTTGGTGCCTCTGTGCTTAATATCAATTCTAGATACAGTTCATATGCATCAATCCCAACTTTAAGAAGGGTGAATTTTCTAAATTACTAGTCTCTCCAACTGATAGGTAGCAAGAGGTCTAAACCATTCTTCCTTCAAGTGCTCAAGATACTGAATTGATCTGCACTGCTAAAGTCGTCAAAAGAACCAACTGTTGCTTCAGTCTTTGTTTTTAAGTACCCTTAAGGTTTTTCAATCTTCCTCAAAAGTTTGCTGAGTTAATCTGGTAAATTGGAATTTTATTTAGCCTGTGATTCATGCCTTTTATTTTGCACCCATCACTTTGTGTTTGACTTATGATTAACACGCAAACTTGCATGATTTGGAACACTGTAAAAGTGGGACCTCCTGAGTGTTCTATCCTGGTCAATTCCAAACTTCAAAGCATGTAGCATATCTTTGGTTTTTTTTTTTGGCTATGCACTTAATTTTGTGGAACCTTCATTAAGGAAACAAGTTTGTTTGCTGGCCATTCCATGATTTCTTTGAATATTTAAGATAGTGTTTGGTTGACTTTGAGAGATGTATGTAGCTTTCTCCAGGCTTGCAATGCCAAGTATTTTTCTTTCTTAATAGGTAGGATAAAATAATGATACATGAGCCGAAACCGTGGCTTGATCAACTTTCTTATAATATCCATTAATGTATAATCATGGTTATGTCAAAACATTTAATCTTAATATTGATAGATAAAGGTTGTTTTAGACAGGGAGATCTTGAGATATCTGAAATCTAACTTATTGGAAAGAAAAGTCTTCATAACTGCTTAGTTGCATTTAGATTAGTTGTTGTGTTTGTGGTGGTTTTACTTTGTCGCCTTTCCTCTCCTGGATGCATCTTAATAAATTTTCTTCTTTTCTCATGGCCAGTTATTTTCTGATTTGAAATCTTTTAATAACTGACTTGAATGACATCTTGCTTCAGGTGCGAAAAGAACATGAACAACTTGGTTCTATCTCTTGCTCCTAAATTCACCAAATTGCAAACTCTGATACTGCGCCAAGGGAATACACAGCTTGAGGACAATGCCATTGAGACTATTGCAAATTTTTGTCATGATCTGCAGGATCTGGACCTCAGCAGAAGTTTTAAGCTTAGTGACTGCTCATTGTATGCATTGGCCCATGGTTATCCCAACCTTACAAAATTTAATATCAGTGGCTGCACGTCATTCAGTGATGAAGCTCTTGTATATGTGACAAATTTTTGTCAAAAACTAAAAATATTAAACCTCTGTGGATGTGTTAAAGCTGCAACTGACCGTGCATTGCAGGTATGAACAATATGCTGAGTAGTTATTGTTTACTTGCTGATTAAAAATAAATTGCTTGAATCAATTATATGCAGGCCATTGGACGAAACTGCAATATGTTGCAAACTTTAAATCTGGGATGGTGTGAAAATGTTGGTGATCTAGGAGTGATGAGTCTAGCATATGGATGCCCTGATCTCAGATGCCTGGACTTGTGTGGCTGTGTCCGCATAACAGGTATTCCTTGCATTGGGTGCTTATTTGGTATTTCATGATATGGTGTAACTTATTGCTTTAACCTTGAAATTCAGCATATTGAATTTTTGGTTCTAACTCTAAGCCTAATTTATCTTCCTTTGGAATGTATATGTCTTGACATCACATGTTTCTCTGGTGTATAGCTTTCTATGCCTTGAGAAGGGATAGCTGCAATGATAATCTAGTGAATGGGCAGCATTTAGTGCCAATGGTAGCCTATAAACCCAATTTTAAAATTATGCATTCTTATTTAAATATGGATACAGTCTATTTATTGACTTTAAGTTGGCTTTCATATATTTTTTCTTAAGATGGTTCATTTTGAAAAGTATGTGAAGGTTTTCACTTTTCAGGATAGTGAGCTGTATTATCTCTTATGGTATGTGAAACAGGTCGTAAAAGGCCAATAGCTGTGATGGTTTGTTGGTAGAGTGCTAAACTCTTAGCTTCAGTGATTAGAGTTTAATCCCGATGGTCTCAATTACCAAAAAAAAAAAAAAAAAAAGGAGGTTGAAAAAATAGCTTTCATTTCTATGTTCCTAAAAAAAATAAAACTTGATATTGGTGATAAGGAAACAATTATTTTTTCTAAAATATTTTTGAATTAGAAAGGGTTAATATCATGAATAACTCTTAAATTCTAATGAAACATTCAATGTAGAATCTGAACTTTAAAAATCTCTAATATGATATTTGAATTTTGAATTTGTTAACTAATGTGATACTTGAAGGTTTGTTTGTCTGGCACATATCATCATTTGAAGCTAGCCACTTTAGGGTGAGTATCACATTAGTTGACAGATTTATAGTTCAGGTGCTATATTAAAGATTTTTAAAATTTAGGTACCACATTGAACATTTTACTATGTTTTAGGAGCTATTCATGACATCAACGCAATTAGAAACAAATCCTTGACTAAGTTTCACAAACATTAAAGGAAAGGACCTTACTTTTAAAAGAGTATTATGACCTCATAATGCTATGAGATTGAAACATGGAAGACTGATGACCTTTTGAAATTTTATTGCAGATAATAGTGTGATTGCTTTAGCAAATGAGTGTCTCCATTTGAAATCACTCGATCTGTACTATTGTCGGAATATTACAGACAGGGCACTGTACTCGCTGGCTCACAGCCGAGTGAAGAACAAACCTTCAATGTGGCAGTCCATGAAGGGTAGATATGATGAGGAAGGTCTTAGAAGCCTCAATATAAGCCAGTGTACTGCACTGACTCCTTCGGCTGTTCAGGCATTGTGCGATACATTCCCTGCCCTTCACACATGCTCCGGAAGACATTCCCTTGTCATGAGTGGATGCTTGAATTTAACGTCTGTACATTGTGCTTGTGCTGTCCGCATGAACACTATTCCCCATACAGCTCATTGAAGGGGATGTCAATGTTTATATTTTAAGTATATGTACTAATCCGAGACAATGGATTTCCTCTGCCCAACGAAAAGAATGGTAAGACATTTCCCTGTAAATAAGGTTGTGTTGAGAAGTATATATTTATCGTCTTGTTGGATGGCATGGACTGAATTACATTTTGGACTTGTTATATCTGTTCTTTTGACTTGTGAATTATGCGGCATTAGGCTTTTGGAAGCCAAACTTTCCTGTTTTAAGTTTCTGTTCTGATTATTTGCGGTTTAATGCTGAAATTTGATCTTTTTGATTTATTTGATGGATAAATATGTTTGGCTGATAGAAATTGAAGGGAAAAAGATGAAATTAAAATGACATGAAACAGAAAAAGTTAAAAAGTACAAATGATTTACAACCAATAAAAACATGAATCTATTCGGGTTGTTAAAAATTTGGTTTTAATTGAAGTTATAGACCTACTTAATTTGATTTGATTAGTGGGTCAATTATTAAATTAATTTTAATTGATTTTAGAAAATAATTTTTAAAAAAATTTGGTTTTGGATTAATTCGGCTCAAAATCCAAATTAATTAAAATTTTAATTGAAATATAATAAAATTTATATATAAAATTAAAAGATATGAAATTGTTCAATTTTTTCAAATTATTAAGACTTTGAATTTAATATTTTGATATTTGAAATTTTTATTGGATTATTTTATTTATTTTGCTTTAAATATAAAAAATTTAAAATTTAAAATATAATTTAACTTAATTTATTTTGTTATCCAAGTAATTAAAATTAATTGAATAATTTTCAAAGTTCAAAAATTTAATTTGATTAATAAAAATAAAATAAAATAATTCAATTTTGAATAATTCAATTTAAAATTTATCGAATGATCGAATAAATACCTCTAAAATTTAATATGGTATTTTCAATTATTCATTAATGAATTAATATTGTTGAATGAAACTATATACAAACTCACGCATTGAAACGATCCTTAAAATGTTATACTTCCATAGGTGAAATGTATTACATTAATGTAGGATAGACATCTAATTCCTGTGGACTTTTTTTGCCAAAATTCCGATGGACTTTACTTCCAAGTCTCAAGTTTTACATTGCAGCAGAAACGCAAATTTCATTTGCTATTAACTTAAGCATTCTAGGGTGGTTTCGTGTCCATAAAAGCCTTAATCATAGTCAGATTCGTAAAGGTTAAATTCCACGTTTGGTCGCCAAAAATTTTGATTGTTAAATTAGGAAAACTTATGAAATAGTAACAAACTTTTTTAAAATTTATTTTTTTGTCATTCAATTATTAAAGAATATACAACTGCTAATTAATATGTCAAGCTATTTATCATTTATCGCATGACATTATCATGTCTAATTTTATATTATCATATTACTTGACATTTCTCACGAAACATTCAATTTTTTAAATAATATAGGTGTTGGATATTTTCAAAGAGGCATAAATAATTTTCATTTTTTGTAAGATTGGAAGGTTTATTTGAATATTATTTTAAAATATTTTAATGTAAATAACAAAAGTAATAAAATAATAGAATAATGTAATAAACAACTTTTAAATTATAATAAAATATTTAATATAATATTGAATTTTAAAAATTTTTAATGTAATATATAAATTATGAATTTATTAATTAATATAATACTCACTCTTAACATGAATAACTCTAAATAATGACTTATGATGGACAATCTTCAATTATCATATTAATTAAAAAATTTATAATTCAAATATCACATTAAAAAATTTTTAAATTCAGATGTCACAAAACTTTTTATTATAGTTTAAGACAATAGCATAGCCAAAAGTCATATTAATTCAAAAAGTTATTATTCATCTCTTTCATAACATTTTTTTTTTCAATTTTTTGGTTGAATCTCATAAAATTTTATATATTTATTATTTTTATATTTATTTTTTAATCATCTAATACTTTTTTTATTTCATATTATTTTCAAGATTATTCTTAATTTTCTTATATAAAAATATGGAATATTATTTTTATAAAAATTTAATATAAAATATATAAAAATTAAAAACTTTTTTCTCAAATCTTCATGAAAGTAAAAAAGGAACTTACAAAAAAGAACTGAAGAAATATCTTTTAAAATAGGCAAATATTGAATATAACATTTTCCATATATAACCTTTAAATAATAACAATTAATGCGTAAAGCCCGGCTTCTTACGAGTTGTTACAATAAATTTTCGTATTCTATTGAATTGAAAACTTAATGATAGTCAATGGAAGCTCAAAAAATCCAGTGAAGAGAAATCAGTTATGCACAAAAAAGAGAGTGCCTGAGTATACTGTAGGAAGGAACGTAATGACGTAAAGGAAAGGTTTCACTCTAGAGCATCCAGAATTTATCAAATTGGCTATTGCCATCCACTGTACTTCTATGTAAAAATTGCAGCTACAGGAAGGTTTAACGACTTAAAAGGAAGCTCTAATGTTATCCATTGTATTTCTAGAATAGTATATTTCTAAGTCGGCGGGTAAAAAAAAGTTGCAAGAAAGCCTCACCAGTAGCTATTGAACAGATACATAAAACATCAAGCAAAAAAGAAGCAAATGAACTTACAAATCCATCATCAGAAATGTCATTTAACTGGTAGTCAGTTCAGTTGACATGTGGAACCTGTTAAAACAGAAACATTCATCAACACCAATGCAATTATATGACAGATTAAAAGTTAAACCGAGAGTGATAAAGAATGACCATGCACGTGTTCCACATCACCAGTTTCTGACTATCTCTGAAAATCCATGGCACTTTAACCATTGTGCTATATGGTCCATTAAACTCCTCAAGTCCTTCCACATGGAAAGGGTTATCTAACCGTACATCAAAAGATGAATTATTTCTAAACCCTAGACTCCAAATGTCATGCTGATCCAGTGGGAAAAAGCAATGGCTGGTGACATGGATGAATTGGGAGTAGAAAAGCCATTTTGGATCAAAGGTGGATCTGCAAGCTTGCAATATATGGTAGACATGCACTTGATCTTATCCTCAAAAAGCTCGTTTGGTGTCTCTTGAGCATGATCAGAAATGCGAGTGCCAAGAAGCTCAGCCAGACTGATTATATTTGATGCATTCTGAGCATACTGTATAGAACCAAGAAAAAGCTATATTCCACAAAAGATCCTCATATTGCCATACCTATCATAGGAAGAAATCATTCTCCCACAAATTTAATTTGTTCGATTGTGGATGCAATCAAAATCAGATGATGATGATTGAACTACATTACCTTCAAGCACGGAGACCTTTGTGATAATTTATCCCAAAAACCAACTGAAGGTAAACTACCTAACCTATTGCTCCATCAGTTCTCCAGAAAAAAAATGAATGACAAAATGCTTTACTATGATGTAAAATGACTAGTAATTAACCAGAAATGTAAAATACAAAGAAATATAAGTTTTATGAGAAGATTATATGCTGAAGTTAATTTACCTCCATCATGGACAAAGGTTGTGAATGGCAGGCGCATATAGCTTTAGCTAAAGTCTCATCGGAAGAAGTCCTACTTCCCTTTGGTAACCCAATTGAACTATTGACAAATCATCATAAACAAATTCAATATAAAGACTTTCTGTGCTGCTATCACCAATGCTAATTTCCCTCATAAATTAGCAAGCATAAGGCCAAACCACATGGGTGACTCCAGTCAAGTTCACAATCAGCCATAGACTTATCCAAGAAATGTGAAAACCTTAAAAAGAACTGCCAACATCTGAAGCATTTTTAATCCTTTTTCTTCTTTTTGAAATATAAAGAAAGCTTCAATAGAGCAAAAAGAAGTTTGTATACATTTAATAGTATAATTTAAAAATGCCAACATTGTCCTGTGATATGATAATTTACCTAGTATAGGACCCAAGAAAGACAGTATTATCTGTTATATGTAAGCATCAAGGAATGTGTTTTGTAAACAAATTAAAATCACTTAAGATGCCTATGTCAAGGTTATGAGATGTATTTATTTTTTCATTCTATGAAAGAGGGAAGGGTTAAAATGGCACAGGTGCATCCCAACAATGCAAAACTGGATACAAAAACTTTTTCAACTTGATTATATATCTAAATAAAGATTAATGTGGTAGATAAATTGTTCCAATAAACATCCATTTCAATACCACACTTGACAATCAGGGTCATACTCTTCATTTATTGATGCTTTTAAACAATGGCTCAACAGGATTATGAAATGTGAAGTTCAAAACCCCATCTCACATGGGCATCAAAAGAAGATAAAAACAAAAGAATAACCCCTTTTCAATGAAAGGCAGAATCTACTACATATACAATAATAAAAAAATTTTAAAAAAAAGAAAGAAAAAAGTTTCTTTTGGGTTCATCTAATGGCAACAAATATCTAGCCACCAACACAGTACCAACAAACATCAGAGTAATAGATGATCTGTTATTAAAGCTGAAATAATACTAATTGGATTTAGCGAGTACGCATATACCTGAGGGTCGAAAACTTGGTTGACAATGCAGGGAGAGGTGAGGTTGAAGACGCCAGCACAACTGTTGATAACGGTGGTGATTGAATGATAATCGAGGAGATTGATCTAGAAGAGGTGGAGAAAAGTGCCAACTATTACAAAAGTTGGAGAAATGTAAAAAACCAACATGAACAAATCCTTAGATCAAAACAGCACCAAACTTTTAACAATTCATGCAAAAAAAACAAAATACTCATCAAATTAAACTAAAACTCTTTCCTATAACACGTAAAAAAAAAAAAAAAAAAAAATCCCACCCAAAAAATTTTCTACCAAATATACAAACACAATAAAAATAACAAAAACAACAAATTTCTGAGAAAGATCACCAAAAACCCAAAAATTTTATCACCCATCAAAAGAGAAGCACATTTATTGAAAAAATCTAAAATTTCTGAACAATGAAAGAACATTGAACCCCCACAGAGCATAAAATAATTTAACAAAACAAAACTCATGTCTTCAAACCCACAAACAAAGAAACACAATGAAAAACAAAAAGGAAGGCAGACAGGGCAAAAAATGAGAAACAGCGACTATGCAAATGGAACAAAGGAAGCTTCTTTAGAATCAAACCCAAAAAAAGGGTAAGAAACGAAAAAACCGTGAAAAACCAAAACAAACAACTGGACACATAACAACCCAAAACTCTTTGGGATACTTTTTATATATAACTAGAAGGCTTCACTTCGGGTCTATTATTAACATTTAATTAAATTAATTTGTAAATATGTAAGAACATTTAAAATTTTGCAAACATCAACGCTAAATAATGCAAACATCAATGCTAAATAAAAGAACTTGTTAAGCATCTACATTTTGCACAAAAAGTACAGGAATACATTTTTCTAAACTGACATATTAGAATCTATTTTTCCAATTCTATTATATGGTTAATTAAAGGCAGTTAATAGATCATTCCAAATATATATCATCAAAATGGGGAAAAAAGAATATTTATTATGGGAATGTTTTCTCATTCATTCCTCCTGTAAGTTTCTCAAAATAACTAAAATAAGAAAGCATACCTTGCACTGTATCCAATTGTTCTCAAGCTACATGCCTTTCTTTTTAAGGTTAGATAATCTGAATTAATAGTCATGATCCTCAACATGATGGTAGCTTTCAAATATTATATTGCTGACTACTTTGAATTTTTGTCCGTTACAGGAGAAAATCAGCAAATTTCAACATCTAATTATTTGACGCATTCTACATGCAATTAGTGTCACATAAAACACTGTGATTTAATAAATTTTAAGTAAAAAAGGGTGTTACCTCCAATCGGAATAGTAGTGTGTTCTGTTCCCTCCTCTATAGCAAGCTGATCTATAGTTTCAGTGCTATTTCCTTCCAAAACAGTACCATTTTCTGATGCAGGATCAAACCCTCTTTCCTTCCAAAACATTATCATTTCTGATGCAAGATCAATAATCTTTCCTTCTGAAACAGTATCGTTTTCAGATGTAACATCAAAACTCTTTCCTTCCAAAACAATATCATCTCCTTTGCATTTTTATTTGTTCCTCAGCACAGAAGATAAACTGCATTTAATGTTTAATCCTTTTTTAATAGCTTAATACATGTAGCAGAGGCATTTCAAATGACATAAGTCAACATACTGTTGAATGAAATTTAGAAATATAAAAGCAGAATGTAAACGTAAAAGGATTCACAAATATACCAAGTTGAAAATGATTCTAAATATTCTCACAAAACATATATTAAGTTTCAATTATTAGTATACCTCCACAATCACTCATGGTATGTCTGGTAAACAGTTGATGGCCTTTGGGTCGTTGCATCAAACCATTTTAAGGTCAACAAATGAGAGAAGAGGGACCCCAGAGGTAAGCAACAGCCAACTCCACTTCCACCCCTCTTGTTTTCTTGACATAACAGGAAGTGACGCGACTCCAAGCCCCACCATGGCTTGTACACAAGCCACCACTGATGAAGTTAATGTTCCATAAGGAAAAACAATGACCCAATATCGAGAATCTGACCAGCCCCTCATGGGACACGCCCTGCAATGAAGTGCCATGACTACCAATAGAAATAGGCTGGCCTGTTCACAGCAAACCTGTACCCCTTTGTTTTTATCCAAATATTATTTTTGATCAATTATAATCACAAGGATTCTAAATAGGCTGGCCTGTTCACAGCAACAAATAAAGTCACCTGATACTTTAACAATATGACGACTATTTTATTGACTATTAACTGTGGGAAAACACTTATTTACAGCTGGTTGTAATCTTGTAATCTGTATATTTATATTTATATCTCTAGAATTAAGTATTTGTATCCCTAGAATTAAGGAAGATTTAATTTCCTAGTTTAACCCCTAGTTAGTTGTATATAAACCTAAGATTCTTGTATAATTGTAGATAAGCAGTTTTTTCAATATACATTCAGTTTCCACATTAACAAATAAATGAAAAAACCTGTACCCCTTACTTTTTATCCAAATATTGCAACCAAATATAATCACAGACACAAAAACCATTATTAAATATGTATATCTTCATGAGAAAAAGATTTTTGTTTTTTCATATGGTCAATTTAACTGTTTAAGAATTAGAGAGAGACCTTTGTTATGGCTAAAATTACAGACCCATGAAGTTTTGCAAAGATAGCTTCATAACCATCGTTTCTCAGTTTCATCACTACCAACTTCTTCAAATTGCTTGTATGATGCCCAGCAGTTCCCATATCTTTCAAATACATTAATATCTTCTCATGTATTAGCCTCCTCATCCATGTGTTTCCCTAGAACTTCCTAGAAAAAAAATTAAGGAATCAAGAGAATTCACCAGAATTAGAAATCGAATAAAAACAATAGTTTGATATATGCCATGGACTTGGAAACTATAGAAGGAATTAACCTAAAAAAAAGGTTGATAATTGAGAGAAAGAGGTTTTGAAGTTTTCACTTCTAGTACCGAAATGGAAGTGAGCATTTCTAATTCAATGAAATCTCTCACCATTTGAACCAGCTCTTCCTCTCCTAGGCTTCCCATTTTGGTCTCTCACCAAATCTCGAAATCGTCAACTCAACTTCCTAAAACAACAGCCTTTGGAACACTGTTTCTTATATAATGGGAAAGCTTCACTTAACAGTTCTGATGTCAAAAAAATTAGCAAAAAAAAATGTTCAAGTAAATTTTGTCATTTGTCATCATTAATGCATATTTTCCCAGATGCTAGCATTGGTTTACCATGACATTTCTCCATTTCCATGATTGTTCCATAATCCAATAGTATCACATGAACTGCTGTCAGTAATATAGCTTCGATGTATCTTGATTCCATGGCTAGCCGGAGTACTGTCAGGATCCATGAAATCCAAGCTGGAATTATAGGTAAAAGAGTGCTCAAAACAAACCCAAAAATTAAATTCTTTTCTGTTCATAACATTTAAAGTACTTAATAACAATAACAATACTAAACAAAATTCAACAAAATTTTCTCAAAAAGAAAGAAAACAAATCAAATGTTAAAAAAAAAAAACAAAGTATTTACCTGGTTCACTGAGAAGACGTTGAGTTTCCTATTTGGATCAAAGATAAAGAAATCAAAATCACAACATGAAAATCAACAAAATTTACTCAAAGAAAAAAAAATTAAAGCTCTCTTCAATCTAAGAAGACAATCTTAAAATAATTAGCTAAGGCTTTTGATCATCAGAACTCTAAACAATTCAACTATCAAACCAAACTCTGGAAACCCAAAAAAGAAAACAGAAAATGAAAAAAAAAAAAGTAAAAGTTAAAGATTTTCTTGATGTTTCTCGGGAAACAAGCAATTGGAGAAATCGGAAAAGATCGACAGGAAATCGAAAGAAGAACCTTGATGATTCTTCGGGAAAGATTACTATTGGCCATTCCCTTTGCTGTTTGGGAAAACCAAAATTTCATCATTGCCTTCGCGTTCGAGTAACAGAGATGCTTTTTCTTGTTACCCATTGCGGTTTCCAGCGAGTTTCAAAAACTTGTAAACAAACAACCAATTAAACTAAAATGAATCTTTTGCACTGTTCAAAGTCTCTACAATTTCAACAAAAATTCTAAGTTTTTCAATTTTGCTACTTACAGATGTGCATATTCCTGTGTATGAGAGGCAGCAACACGACATGCATGAACACGATGCTGTTAGCAACATGCATCCACAACTTCCGCCGCAACCATGGCCTAGTCTTTGGCATCTTAAAAGGCTACATCAGGCCCAGCACCGCCATCTTCAGCAACCTCTGCTCCGCTCTCTTCTCCGATGACCTTGCCAGATTCCTCATCATGCTCGCCTCATTCCCTTTACTGTTCGCCACACCACCATCTTTTTCCACCGTGAAATCCCCCAATCCAACTACCCGCTATTTGGGATAATCTCCCTCTAGAAACTTCTGGGAAGAATCATGGAAATGTTTATGAAATGGTGAAAATTACACCAAACATCCATCGTGCCTATATCTATCCTCAATTGGTTTTTAACGACATTCCTAACATGGATAACAAATTAGAGTTGCAGGAGTTGGGGAGTCCTTTTATATATGGATACAGATACATAATATTATATATGTCATTATAAAAATCAAGTGTAAATAGTAATGGATTATGATGTTTTTAAATTTCATAAATGAAACAACATATGTCTATTAAGATATATTTAAAAAATAATAAATTTATTAATAATTAAATGAACATGAAAAAAAATTATAATAATAATTTAATTTTAAAATTTCACTATCGATAAAGAGAATAATAATTAAAAAAAATCAATGTAATGATTTCCTTTTACAATTTTGGTGAAGAAAATGAAAACATATCATTAACATGGTAAATGCATTCTTTTAATGTAATAAATCAAACAATTATACACCAAGCCATCTCTTATTGGTTTTAACAAATTCTTCACTAATTTCATCACAGAAAAAGTTCTTTACATACTTGCAGTAATAATTGGCAAATAAAAACTAATTTTAGTATTAAAATAGGTAGTGGATAAATAATAATTTTTTCCTAATTGTCTTCACCACTCTTTTTTGTGATCTCTATTTTCACTAATGTTGATCCCAAATTATATTATTATATTCTATATTAATTCTCATTTTTTTTCAATAGGATCAATTAATCTTTAAATTTTCTTTTTATTATGGTTAATTTATCATTCTTCTTATATTAATATATATACTATAAAAGAGTTTAAAAATCGAGTGGAGTCAAGTGAACTTAAGACTTTCAACATGACTAAATTCTAATTCAATTGTTATTTATAACATTAATTTAAAATAATTTATTATATTACATTTTATAAATGATAATGATCATATTATGGCTAAATGCTTAAATTAGAATCAAACGTTTGGGTGATTGCTCAATTCAGGATCAAATGTTTTAATTCGTACAAATATAGATAAAATGTTATCGATTTGTAATAATATAAGATTTATTTCAATAGTAAAAGGATTATCTATTTTACGCGCCATTATAACATGTAAAAAGAATAGAAAATGATTGATTAGGCAAAATCATGCTGATTTGAATTTTTTTTGACAAAAAATATCTTGACTAATCATGTCATAAAAATTTATGAGAAGATTATTGAAAACGTTTTTGGCTAGAAACGCCTTTAATAAGCTAAAAATGCCTTCAATAACCCAATTAAAATTTTTTTTTAGACTATTAAAAGTATTTTTAAAGAAAAATGTATTAAGCAATCATCTCATAAAAATTTATGAGGAGATTATTGAAGGTGTTTTTGACAAAAAATGCTTTGAATAATCCCAAAAGAAATCATATCATAAAAATTTATGAGGAGATTACTAAAAACGTTTTTGAGCAGAAACGTCTTCTATAGCCCCATTAATTTTTTTTTAAAGGATTATTCAAGGCGTTTTTGTCAACGCCTTGAGTAATCACGTCATAAAAAATTACGAGAAAATTATTGAAAGCATTTTTGACTAAAAACACTTTTAATAACCTAATTAAAGTTTTTTTAGATTATTTAAGGTGTTTTTAACGAAAAACACTTTGAGTAATTATAACATAAAAATTTACGAAGGGATTATTGAAGGTATTTTTGGCCAGAAATGCCTTTAATAATCCCATTAAAAATTTTCTTCGAGATTATTCAAGGCGTTTCTGGTTAAAAACGCCTTCAATAATCCCTTCATAAATTTTTATGATATGATTACTAAAGGTATTTTTCTCCAAAAATGCCTTGAATAATTTTAAAAAAAATTTTTAATTGGGTTATTGAAGGTATTTTTGATCAAAAACACCTTTAATAATCTCTTTATAATTTTTTATGAAGTGATTATTTAAGACGTTTTTAACCAAAAACACCTTAAATAATCATAAAATTTTTTTAATGAGATTATTAAAGGCATTTCTGGTTAAAAACACCTTTAATAATTCCCTAATAATTTTTTATGATATAATTACTCAAGGCATTTTTGACTAAAAATACCTTAAATAATCTCAAAAAAAAATTTTAATGGAGCTATTGAAGGCATTTCTAGCAAAAAATACTTTCAATAATCCTTTCATTTTTTTTTTTATAATGTGATTACTCAATGTATTTTTTATTAAAAACACTTTGAATAATTTCGAAAAAAAATTTTAATAGGATTAAGGAAGGCATTTTTGACCAAAAACACCTTTAGTAATCCCTCATAAATTTTTATGACATAATTACTCAATGCGTTTTTAACCAAAAACGTTTTGAATAATCCCCAAAAAAATTTTAAATGAGGTTATTAAAGGATTTATGACCAAAAATACCTTTAATAGTCCCTTCATAAATTTTTATGATGTGATTACTCAAGACGTTTTTCGTAAAAAATGCATTAAATAATCTTGAAAAAAAATTTTTAATGAGGTTATTGAAGGCATTTATAGCCAAAAACCAAACGCCTCCTAAATCGTATTTTCACAACAAATAACATAAAGTAACAGAATTGACAGGGTGAAATGCTCATTAATATAAAAGGAGTTCTAACAAGCATTTACAAACCCTTTTATAACAATCTTAATCCACTATCAAGCATATAAGTTAAGTTTTTAAAATTTTTTTAGGATTGAAAAAGATTACACAAAACACAAATATAAAAAAGAATGAGATAAGCCAAATTATTTTTCAGTTATCATCTCTACCATGTTTACCACCAATAATTTTATTATTTTCTTTCAATTTCAATCTCAAAAAACTAATTTCTCTCCTTAATTGCATTTCTCTATGATAACATCACTTCACCAAAATTTTTTTTCTACTTTGAAACTTCATATTTCAAACTTTGAACATGACTATATAAAAATTTTCTCTTTTTTTTTTCAGCTCCAAAATAATCTCTTTTGCTCTTTCAAAAATTTTAAGATCATGCCACAAATGAAATCCACAAATAGTGCCCTATAATCACACCAAAGAATTATCAGTAAATAAATTTTAGCAAAAACACCCAAGAAATACCAGTAAATTTATAAGCTTACAATCACACCAAGAAAATATCAGAAAATAAATACCAACAAAAACACCAAAAAAATACCAGCAAAAATACAAAAAAAATACCAGTAAATTTATTGAATAATGTAGGCATCCATAAAATCTTCTACCAAGATTGCTATTCATCGATGAAGTCCATCTAGCTACCTTCATATTACAGTAACAGAAAATGAATTCTTCTTCAAAATCCTATTTTACTGGGTAACTAGTTGAAATTAACTTATACATATTTATATCATAAGACCTTCACCTAGAAACCCTACAATTTTAATATTTTGAAAAATAAATTCAAAGAAAATCAGAGTATGAGAAAAACCCAAAATTTATACCAATCTTAAATATACACTACTAGATGAACTGATATTTAAAGAAGCTATTGTATTAAGATGTTATTTCAACAAAAAAAATTTCTCAATTTATGATGAAAATGAGAAGAAATGATGAGAAATTTGTAAGTTGAAATTGTCTCACAGATAGAAACGATAAAGAAGAAAGAAAAAAAAAAGAAATAAACTTAAAAAACAACCATAATAAGCTGAAGTTACACATGGATAAATTAATTTCATGTTATATTTTGACTGTCATGATTTTTACACATAGGTAATTTAACAATGCATAAGATGCATATTCCTTTCATCGTTAAAATAAATTCTATATTATTAAAAAGCGATAATGTTTAATTTTTATTTGTACAAATTAAAATATTTGATCTTGAATTGAGTAACCACCCAAACGTTTAATCTTAATTTGAGCATTTAACCTCAAATCATTGTAAAGTTACGAGAAAAATGAGTTAATGATAACGGAGATAAAAATATTAATAAATTTTATGAACATTGGTATCAAATTGTGAATTTTTCAAAATTGGATGATCAAACTACAAATTTTTGTAAAATTAAGTTGCAAAAAGTATAATTTGGCCTTTTTAAATATCCATTTTTTTACAAAAAAAAAAAATTATGATACCATGCTGATAATGTCACATGGTATGTTAAATGACATGACTTACTACCTCGTACAATTGTTAATCTCCAATGGCTATGACAAAAAAAATTCATAAACTTTGATAATAAAATAACGATTTTTTATAGCTTGATGACCGAATAAAAGATCACCTAAAATAAAAGTGGCTAAACATATAATTTTCCCTAAACTCTAGCTATAAAACCTTATATTTTTTTTCTATTCATTTCTTCTTCCTCCTTTAAAAAAAAAAAAAGAAAAGCTTTTACCTTCTTCGACACAAAACAGACCACTGTTCAAATTAGGAGCCACCGTCACCGCTGCTGGCCACCTACAACACCTCTGACACCATTTGAGCTCCTCATTCTGCCATTCCTCTATCGCGAATGATGTTGTTAAAGCTGTCTATTTCTCTCTCACAGCGTCGCCATCAGAAGCCCAATGCTGTTGGCCATGAGCCTCAGTCTCATCAATGAAAACTCAAATCCCCTAGAACAAACCCAGCAAAACCCAAATTCGGTGTTGTTTGTTTCTGATTTGGTTACTTTTTTTAAAACTGAAGCTGATTATTTATTTATTTAGCTTTCTTTTCAGGATAGCCTTGGCTATGGTGGTTATGGCATTAGGTTCCTCCCTACAGAGAGGACTGTTTTTTTTAATGATTTTTTTTGGATTTTTGGCTGAGGGGGCTATTGGTGCGGGTTCTGGAGGGAGCACCAGGGTTGTTTGAAAGGGCTTTGCGACTATTGATGCGAGGTTTGTAGAAGAGGAGGTCAAGTATTGGTGTGCGAGAGTGGAAATGGGTGCTCGCCTTCTCTATTAGGGGAGGTTTTTTTAATCTGCTCCTTTGTAAACAGTCCAAAATTTTCAAAAGGTTAAGTAGTGGAGCCAGGATTGGGGATTGTGGAGTGCAGAATGAAGTATAGTACGATGTTAGCGGTGCAGAGACTAGAACTTGTCTTTTTATGGATTTTTTTATTTTTTGGTGATTTATTTTTAATTGATAATTAATTTTTGTAATTAATTAATATTTATTTTATATTTTTTAGTAATTGTAGTAATAATAATTTGATTAATTAATTAATTATTTGTATATATTTTTTATAATT